AAAAAAAAAAAAAAAAGCTATTTTGAGTTTCCCTTCAGAGCAATTTCCAGGGAAGTTTCTTTGGTTTTGTTTTCTGAGAAATAAGAAACCCTAGAACCTGTTTCTGAGAACGAGCCAGTAGACATGGTTGCTTGATGACGGTGAAGAGAGGAGAAATAACGCCAGGACAAAGTCCTGGAGAAGGCGGTCAGGGTGGGACTCGGAGCCTGAGAGACTGGGTGCCTTGAAAGGGCCCTGCCTCCATTTGAACCTGTGTAGATCTGGGCACAGGTGCGGGTCCATCTGTGCACTTGGTGGCAGGAAGATGAAGGGGTTCTTTCCCGGTGAAGTTAAGGACGAGGTCATCAACCAAAACACCAGGGTGGGACGGGTGCGGAAGGTTTGCAAAAAGAGGGCAAATAATGAAATAATTATTTGGAGAGTAAGATAAAGAACTTGAAAGAGAAATGTAGGTTTGCTGGAGCTTGATGAATGTTCACTGCCATGCGAGGGTATGAATTAGAGTAAATCCAGTCACCTCGGTTTGATTTTTCTCCAAGAACATTTACCTACTCACATGCAGGAGCAGAGAACGTGGATAATTGAACTCTGCCAGGATCGTGGCTTCACCAGGTGAGTAGAGAGGGACCCTGCTGGGCAGGGACTTGAGAGTGTGGGTAAAGCAGTAGCTGTGACACTGTGACAAGGACCAGGGCAGTAGTTTTCAGGGTGATTCCCAGACCACCAGCAGCGGCAGTAGCACCCAGCCACATGTCAGATATGTAATTTGGGGGCCACCCCAGAATGACATGAGAGGACTTCAGGGGAGACTGTGCCCTCAGGGGACAGACGTAAGGATATCGCAGAGTTGGCTTGCTATAGACTGGAAGCTTCAGAGGAGAGAGGAAATCAAATCTCTATGTATGTTCAGCATTTATTTCTGGATTTTCTGTTTTGTTCCATTGATATATTTATCTCTGCTTGTTTGTGATTATATAATAACTCTTGATAGCAGTGATATAACTCTTCCAGTTTTTGCTAGTCCTACTAGATCGTCTTGGATTTGAGCATTTTTATATGAATCCATTAAAATATAATAGTATAATAAGAGCTGGGCACAGTGGTTGTGCTTGAAATCTCAGCTGCTTGGGATTCTGAGGTGGGAGAATCACTTGAGACTAAGAACTTGAGACCAGCCTGGACAACGTAGTGAGAGCCTGTTTCCAAAAAAAGTGAAAATAAGGTGATGCCTGTGGCTCAAAGGAGTAGGGTGCTGGCCCCATATGCAGGAGGTCATGGGTTCAAACCCAGCCCCGGCCAAAAACTGCAAAAAAAAAAAAGGAAAATAAAATAATGAGCCAGGTATAGTGGTGTATACCTGTAGTCCCAGCCACTTGTAAGGCTGAGGTAGGAGGATCATTTGAGCCCAGTAGGTCATGCCCAGCCTGGGTGATAGAGTAAGACACTATGGCAGAAACCCAAAACACACACATATACACTCTTTCACATACACGCACAGAGGATGCCAAAAAAGTATACCCATTTTAAGAAAAGAAAAACCTGCATTACAATTGTAATACTCAACATATAACAATAACAAAAGATAAACATATGATACGAGTCACATTGAGCACTATTTATATTTACAGAAGTCCAAGGTGACTTGAGTATTCCAAATTGACTAAAGTTTTTGCGTTTCTTAAAGTGTGCATACTTTTTTTTTTTTTTGAGACA